TTCCTAAACATATGAATAAAATTTATACCATTCCTTTATGATTGTCGCAATCAAATGTCAACCAAGTACCTAGAGTTTCAATATATTCTTCTTGGTTATTTAAACCTAGTTCATAGTCACAGCCTTAAAAAGATTTGGTAAATATTTGGTGTGATATATTAATGATTCCTCAACACTTTCTAAAAAATAATATATTGAATAAATTACAATGAAAACTCTTTATATGTTAGATTAAATTAAGAACTTGGCAGCATATTTAAGATACTCGTAATTATTTTATTCTATCCCTTGGAGCATTCTACTTATAGCAAACAACTAGGCCAATGAAATTAGTTAAGTTTGATGAAAAGCAAATACGTACTTCACTCGATTCATTTTAAACTAAAATTTAATATATCAAATTTATTGATACCTTATCTCGTTTATGAAAATATTCGATAGCACCGAATTAATCCAAATATTCATATTTAGCATAATCACTGCTCAATCTATCGAATATCATTAAGCTATAGATATGCCACAATAATGGTTCTGGAAAATCCTTTTCTTCGCAACTCAAGGCTTCCATGTCCTTCCCTTAATAAGTATTATCAAAGTACATTGATAGGGCATCTTAAAACAGCTTGTTTTCATCTTAAGTCAAGTTATCAACATAGGCATCTAAGAGTGATAGCATAGTCTTTTTTTTTCTAGGATTTATGTGTCAGAAATAATTATAATATTTATCACTTTCTTAATTTAAATTTCCCTAATCAATGAGTAGGCTCTTCTTATATGAATTTTCCAATCTCGATGATAGAGCACCTTTTGTCATTAATGATTTTTGAATATTTAGTTACTCTGCATTTGCTGCAATCCATTGCATGTCATTTTCTCTTAATTACTTTTCTTTGACTTTATCAGACAAGTAATACTTAGGCAAGCATTTTGAAGCCTAATTGAATATGGGATGTGATCGATAGTATCATATTTAAATAAATTTGTTCTGGAAGATTAAAAATTTTCTCCTAATAATTGATTAAGATAGTCCATACTATTAAACATAGTTGATGAAAATTTTACAATACTTCTTTAAGCATGACAGTTCATATCGTGTATTTTTAATATTAGTTAGAGATAATTGAGATGATATAAAAACTACAAATTATGATGAAAATTCTTAAATCATATGATAAATCTAATCATTATTCCAACATTTTTCATGAATATGAAAATTGCAAAGATAAAATTAATTTACTTAATTATTTAAGCTCATTCAATTATAGGACATGCTATTAATTTCTTAAATTTTATTTAATAAATATTCAGAATGATATTACTTAGTATCTGTGGCGCTTCTTACTTTTAGGAATTTAGAAATTTATTATTATTTTCTTTCAAAAAAAATGCATATAAAAGTTTTTCAAATCAAAAAAATTATTATTTTTCTTAAAATTTGATTCACTAATTATCTTGCAAACTACCATCAATACTTACTTAGTTAAATGTATTTACTTCCTAATTACTTTAGTTGAATAAATATTATAACTTTCACTATAATCGAAAACATGAACTTCCTTAAATTGTGTATTTACAGAATAAACTATTTAAATTTATAAGTTAAAATTATGTAAAAACTCTTCAATATAGTTGATTATAAAAATGAAAAAAGGACATATTTAAAGGGAAATTAAATTAACTGACTATCAATTTATCCTAATTATATTTATTAATGAAGTTGCACAATATATAAATTCTAAATGGTAATTCTTTATTGATATAGATTGATGTTTTTTAATCCCTAATAATGAGATAAGTAAGTAGTATTTTACAATTTATTTGAACGATTGATGAATGTTACTCTTTTTTATTTAAGAGTTATTCAATTTAATGCTAATAAGAGATACAAATATTTCAGAGATTTTGGAGTTTAGATAATAAATAATTGATTTTTGTAATAATAATAAATCCCCAATTACAATTCAACATCCAAAAAAGGATAAATGTAAAGAAATCATTTTAGTTTAATTTATCTTTTACTTTGAGTTAGAATTAATAAAATCAATAATATTCCTTTTATCATAAATTATTTAAGCAATCGAATTTTTTTTGTTCATTTTTTATTAAATGATTTAATAGGTTTTTGAAAGAAGATATTTATAAATTTTTCTAATCATAAACATCTTATAGTTTATATTTTTCAAAACAAAAAAGTTCGTAGATTCATTCCCTTTATAAATTAATTATCATTATTTATTTTCTCTTTAAATATTCTGGTTATTTATTATCAAGTAAAAATAATAAAACAGATGAAATAATAAATATATAAAGTAGAATTGATATTTTCTGAAAAAAAAGCTTAAAGATAGCATAGCTCTACAATAATCCAAAGTGAAATCTTATCTACTTTATTTAAAATTTTTATTAAATAAATTGAAGGAACAATTATTAACAGATTATCAAGGTCATATTGAAACATTTTGCATTCATAAAGAGTAAAGCAATTTGAAGTATATTTTCTTTCTTAAATTCTGAAAACGATACATTCTTTTGACCTATCACATTTTATTAGATCTAGATTTAAAATTAAAAAAGATTTTTTAGAATATCAAAAAGAAGCGGACATTTAATTTAACTTTCTGTCCTTCGTAAAATCGAACAGGTTATTAATTAATTTTTCACAAATTTTCATTTCGAATATTACAGATGAAAACTCTATCTCAATTTATTCCAATTCTCATTGAAAAATGTTTAAGGGCATTTCTTAAATTCCTAATTATATAAATACTAATAATAAGTTTTATATTCTCATCATTATTGACTGGATGTGAGGCTTCTACTTAATCTGCAATAATATCCAAGAGTTTTATCCCACATCCAGAAGGCTCTTCTACATAGCGGACAAATAGTCATGTACACATTGCATTATTGTTTTATAAGTCCATCGTATTTGATGACTAAGATGAATCTACCAAATTAAGCATACATGATAATTCTATGGTCCCCTTAAAAATCATATCCAAATCTACTTCCCTTCTTTGGTTATAGCTTCCATTTTGAGGGTCATAACATATGCAGCTCAGTAGTTACTTACCCATTTATTTCGCATCCAGCAAGAATAATGTCTTTATATTCCATAACTCTGAGTCCTTTTATACTGTTTTCATAATCTTATTTTACCTGAATATCTATAGTTGTAAATTATAATTTCCTGTCTCTCAAGTAGGTTTTAATTAGATTGAATCTATTTACTTCTATTAGTATAAAAGGAATCTCTTCCCTTGAGGAAATGACTCATCTTGGCTTAATTAGAGTCACCATGTAGGCTGTAGATTGCCCTTAAAAATGGTCACGCTTAATTTAAAAGTAAGTTTTTAAAAGGGAGTATATGAGATGATATATTTTGTTAATAGAGGCACAGAGTTTATGTTATCGGAAGGTGTGCGGAAGTCTCTTCGTGTGTCTAGCTTATTAATTGATTCATTCCATTTAAGAAAGAACTAGTATTTCGTCGATTTCAAAATGTGTTAAACTATTGTTCCCTCATTCTGAAGGCAGTTTCGAGTTAATACTTCTTCGAGACTATTTTTCATATATTCTTTAAACTATAAGGTATTTTGTCGGGTTACTTCTTATTTACGAGGATTTATCTTTTTTTTGTTTGTATTAATAGGAGTATCCTTTTGATGGAAATCCATTTTATATCAAAGCTGATTTCAATGAATGATGTGAAAGTAATTTAAATTAATTATAAACGTTTATTACTTAGTATCTAAATGACTATCAGATAGAAGTTATTAAAAAATAAACCTGCCATCATGATTATTAAAAAAAATTAATCAGGTCATTTTAAGGAGTTATCCTTAATCTTTAGTAACTTATTTATTAAAAAAAAGTAATCAGAATAAAATAGAAAATATAAAGTTAATATAAGAAGATCAAATTATTGTGATTTTGTAAAAGCAATTAAAAAGTGAGGATCATCTAAATCCTTCTTCATTACATCATCTATATTGAAATATTGATAAATAAAGATCCTGATAAAAGGGCGAAAATAATAAGGAAATAAGAATTTAGATTAATTTAGAAATTGCATTTCGATATCCATGCAAGAATATTTAAAAAAGTAAAGATGCCCATTTTTAAAGCTTATTTCACTATTTAATTCAATTTAAAGATTTTTAATTCAGATATGAAATGTAAATTATCCTAAAGAATTCAATTCAAAAATTGGTAAGTATCTAATAATTTAATAATTAGAATTTATATTTTTTTAGGCTCTGATTTAACCAAAATATTTTCTATCAGATATTTTGTGGCAAGGTTTAGATAGGATTAAAGTTTTTTATTAAAAAATATTCCTTTTTAACTAGATATAAAGGCTGCTATGAGAAAAAATTTATCACTCTTGTTTTTGGAGTAAAATGCGATAGCCTTTTCTCTCAAAATTGAATTTTATTCAAAATTTGATTGATCATTTCAATCTTACTATTATATATTTCCTATGGCTTTATGAAATATATATTAAAAATATAATTCAGCTATAGTTTTATCATTAAAAATACTATGTTTTATTTATCTCAAATATCATATTTAATTTCATTAACCTTTTTGAATCCTTCTTCCATTAAGTACCAAACTCTTTTCATTTCCACCCATACACCAACCTTTTTACCATTTTAATATTCACCATTATGAATTATTTACTTTAAATACTTAAATTCCTCATCTAAATCAATCCAATTGCCTATCTTAACTCCATCATCATATTATCCGCCACCGCTATTTCCAATTTATATAATAATTTCTACATTTTATAAAATGGATCACTACTGTATGACCGATACTCAATATCCCATCTACCCATTTTCTTACCATTTTTATATTCACCATTAAGAACTACTTATTTGGCATTCTAAAATTCTTCATCCAATTCAATCCATTTGCTATTCTTAACTCCATCAACATATTGTCCACCACCACTGTCTCCATTTTATTTAATATATTTATTACATTTTAGTAAATAGCTTCTCGCTATTCAACCTATACTCAATATCCCATCTTCCAACTTTTATCTCATTTTGATATTCACCATTATGCGTTACTTATTTTTCCTCACTAAAATCTTCATCCAAATCAGTCCACTAGCCATGTTTAAGTCCATCTTTGTATAATCCACCACCGCTGTCCCCAATTATTTAATATTGTTTACATTTTAGAGAATGGATAATTGTTGTCATATCTATACTCAATTTCCCATCTACCTACTTTTTTGCCATTTTCATATTAACCATTATGAGCCACTTGTCTGTAATTCGAAAATCGGTCGTCGTAATCAATCCAGTAACCAATCTTATTTTAGCCACCTGCTTAATCATATGACCCACCTCCACTAATAAATCAATTAATAATAATACATAATTTAGTTATCATAGATGTAATTCCATCTCCCTAATTTTTAATCAAGAAAGTATTCTCCGCTTTCATATAGTTGAGCTTGACTATTTTGTATACATACTTAAATTTTACCTCCAATAACTCTTACTTGGTTGTTTCCATTAACCTAACTTTAATCCATTCTCATAGTATCCACCAACTTCCTCAATCATTTCCCCTTTCCAAATTGCAATCCATTTACCTTATTTTTTCTAGTTTGGTCCATACTCACCTTACCATTAAAGAAATTAGATCTATTCCATATCTGTTAAGATTTCTTAATCTCTGAAATCATCCTAGTTAAATTCCCTTTTATAGCAAAAATAATCAAATACTATCTCAAAATTACACCTTCCTATTAGTAAATCATTTAATTATCTTATGTAAATGTGATTTGTATTTTAACCTTTACTATTTTTTTTTTCTTTTCATCCCATTTTTTGACCTGATAATCTTTGTTAACTTTTTAATCTTTTAAGTTTTCTAAGCAAAATTGTGTTTGTTAATTTTCAGATAACATGTATTTATTACTTTAATATTTTAAAAAATAATATATTATCAATTGGAATAACAAATACCTAAATAACTTCAGAAAAGCTGTTATTAAGGCTTAAATTATAATTTTAAGTAGGAATCAAGTCAATAGAAATTTTTGTGAGACACTTTTATATTTTTCAAAATTTTGATTAGTAACAAAAATATAGATAAAATATCATTAAGCCTAAATCAATAAATTAATGATAAAAGGAAAGAGGTATTTTAATATAAAACTAAAGATACATTTTCTTAAGTTATTTAATTTTAAGTAATTTTAATATTTTTGTTTACCCACAATCCTAGGTAAATCAAAGATGAAACAAAATTGATATTAAAATTAAATTGAGCCTCTCCTATTTTTTAAGAAATTTTATGTAAATTAATTGATATGATCTAAAGATATAGTGAAAATTATTAATCAAGAAAGCCTATTCTAATTAAATTTTAATAATAATACTAATTTAAATTCAAGTTTATGAATAAAATGGGAAAAAATTTTTGAGAGTAAATTTCTTAATTTTATTTTTATGATTAGCTCATCAAATATCTTGCAACTGCAAAGTCAAAAAATCAGTGTTTATCTGAAAAGAATTTATCGTTTTATGAAGATGCTGTTTAAATAAGATTAAGATTATTATCTTGAAGTATTTAAATATATTATGAGCATTAAAAATTCCAAAGAGTATTATAGTTTTTTATTAATATTCTAAAAATTTGAAGAAATAAATAATATAGAATTTTTTCATATTCATAAAATATGACCATCTGATTAGGCTTTTTATTATCTGTTATTAGCATCCCATAATTGGATAGATTTCTCATGACTACCAGAAGCTATTAGTAGTCTAATCAATCGGAATATTGAAAAAAAATTAAAGTAAGTTTTGCCAAAAAATTTTAAATGCAATATAATCAAATAAACAATTTATTAGTTCACTTAAAAATCGAATAATTGATAAAAAGTTTATAACTTATATTAATCACCTATTAATTCATTTAATTCTATAATTAAAGTTATAATGATCTATATTTATATTTCATTTGTTTGATTTAAAATAAATAGTAGTCTCTCCAATTCATTTTTTTATTCTTTGGCATAGTTGATTGTTTTTTTTTAGTTTAAATAACCTATCTTGAATCTGTTCCATGATCAATCCAGTATATTATTTTAATTTATGTTTACAAGATAGGGTATCTTTGTTGTTAAATTATAATAATTAATCATTATTTAACTGATTAATGACCAATTAACGAATAAGATTAAACTATACATTTTTATCTAATATTAATAATTTGTTTAAACATCATATTTTTTATTATATGATTAATCTTGAATTGAAATTCTCAACTATGTTTATTAAGAAAGTTGTATTTTAACTTTAACAGAAATAAATCATTATGAAAGATTATCTTTAGAAGCATTGTAGAGCAAGCTTTTATTCAAATAGCAAAAGCCAGAAAAGAGTAATATATAAATAAGAAACCCTCCTTTTGAACACAGATTTATAGGAATAATAAGAGAGCTGTTAAATTTTTAGTATCTTTAGAAACAATTTTTTTCAAAATTGCCATATATATATATAAAATAATTAATAAATTAAATTATGTTTAAAAAGATAGTTTATTATTAGCTTGTTAATAACGAACTCATCTATTCTTTTATTCTTTTATAAGGGAGCAAATTTTTTTAATCCTCAATAATATTTGTCTATTTGTTTTTGTCGATTAAACAGAAATATTTTAAAAATAAATATTGAAAAAAAAGGAAATAAAATTAGAAGATTTATAAATGACAAATATTATATCAGAGTGAAGAGAATGTTTAGATTTAGTATAATTTAATAAATTTCGGACTAATAATGTAAACAATTCTATGATTCTCATTGTAACTGTTAGTATAAATCATCATAAAGAACTAAGTTAGTTTGTTTTAAAAAGAATCAAATAAGCGTTGTCAGATATTTGTTACATAAAATTACTAGCATTTTTATTGGCCATTTTAGGTTTGATTGCTTAAATATAAATTACTTATTTGTTCAAAAAAATATTGAGGAGGACATTTATAAAGAATTTATCATCTTGCAATTGTATATTTTTGGCTTGACATCACAAAAGAGCTGAATAAATTGTTGATATTAAACAAGAAATTAAAAATACTATATTTTTGGGTCTTAAATCAACAAATTATTTAAATTAATGAAATATACNTTAATCACCTATTAATTCATTTAATTCTATAATTAAAGTTATAATGATCTATATTTATATTTCATTTGTTTGATTTAAAATAAATAGTAGTCTCTCCAATTCATTTTTTTATTCTTTGGCATAGTTGATTGTTTTTTTTTAGTTTAAATAACCTATCTTGAATCTGTTCCATGATCAATCCAGTATATTATTTTAATTTATGTTTACAAGATAGGGTATCTTTGTTGTTAAATTATAATAATTAATCATTATTTAACTGATTAATGACCAATTAACGAATAAGATTAAACTATACATTTTTATCTAATATTAATAATTTGTTTAAACATCATATTTTTTATTATATGATTAATCTTGAATTGAAATTCTCAACTATGTTTATTAAGAAAGTTGTATTTTAACTTTAACAGAAATAAATCATTATGAAAGATTATCTTTAGAAGCATTGTAGAGCAAGCTTTTATTCAAATAGCAAAAGCCAGAAAAGAGTAATATATAAATAAGAAACCCTCCTTTTGAACACAGATTTATAGGAATAATAAGAGAGCTGTTAAATTTTTAGTATCTTTAGAAACAATTTTTTTCAAAATTGCCATATATATATATAAAATAATTAATAAATTAAATTATGTTTAAAAAGATAGTTTATTATTAGCTTGTTAATAACGAACTCATCTATTCTTTTATTCTTTTATAAGGGAGCAAATTTTTTTAATCCTCAATAATATTTGTCTATTTGTTTTTGTCGATTAAACAGAAATATTTTAAAAATAAATATTGAAAAAAAAGGAAATAAAATTAGAAGATTTATAAATGACAAATATTATATCAGAGTGAAGAGAATGTTTAGATTTAGTATAATTTAATAAATTTCGGACTAATAATGTAAACAATTCTATGATTCTCATTGTAACTGTTAGTATAAATCATCATAAAGAACTAAGTTAGTTTGTTTTAAAAAGAATCAAATAAGCGTTGTCAGATATTTGTTACATAAAATTACTAGCATTTTTATTGGCCATTTTAGGTTTGATTGCTTAAATATAAATTACTTATTTGTTCAAAAAAATATTGAGGAGGACATTTATAAAGAATTTATCATCTTGCAATTGTATATTTTTGGCTTGACATCACAAAAGAGCTGAATAAATTGTTGATATTAAACAAGAAATTAAAAATACTATATTTTTGGGTCTTAAATCAACAAATTATTTAAATTAATGAAATATACTGTACTTTTTGTATGGTATTTTAATTTTTTTAGTTTCATTGAAATTTGAAGAATTTTTTTCATATATAGAAAGCACCACTTGTAAAATATTCTTGTTTTTTTGTAATTTTTTGCATTTTCATTTGATTTTTACTCATTTTTCGACTATATATTACCTTTTATTAGTTTTAATTTAAAATCTTAGATTACAGATATATATTCTCTTCTCTAGTATAGGATTTAGATTTGTTGATTATTAAAATTAATCTAATTATAATTGAATCATATTTTAAATTTTCTACTTAACGTTCCCCTTATTTAGATGTAGAAATAATAAATAAATAGAAAGTTGTTGTTAGTTGGCTTAATGGTTCTTAAAAAGATTTTTGATACTAAATAAGGAATTGAAAATAGAGAAAATCAAAAAGGACTCTAAAGAAAGCATGCTTTAACGATTGACTATTCTTATATTATCAAATAAAAACTTAAAATAAATGAATTTTAATAAATGATTATATTTAAATTAATAAGATTAAAAGATATGATAAAAATTATATTGTAAGATGAAGAATATTAACAATTAATTGTACTATTAATAGTTTTAATGCATCAGTTAATAATCATTTCTATTTTTTGTTTAATTCTATTTAATTTTCCAAAATACAACTACCTTTAGATTGCAGTAATGGTCTCATATCTTTCTATTAATGATTTATAAATTCTCCTTTCAAAATTAAAGCCCCTTATGCTTAAAATATTGCTTATTGTGATATAATTAAAATAGTTAGAGGAGTGACTAAATCAATATTTAACAAAAATTTACTTGGTAGAGGATTGTGTTAAATGATAAGGGCTTTGAATTATGCTATTAAATCATTGTAACTTTTGTCTGAAGGCTGAATTTCCTTCCAACTCTTAACATCCCATAAATGGATAGAATTATCATAACTATTAGATGCTAAAGTTTTCCCATTAGGAGAGAACATTACCGAGTTGATAAAACTTTTACGAACATCTATTTTAGCCTGTTACTTTCCTGACTTAACATCCCATACACGGATAGACTGATCTTCACAACTAGATGCTAATTTAGTTCCATCAGGAGAGAAGCATAATGAATTGGCTCCACTACAGTGACAATCTGATTAAACTATTTATTATCCCGTCATAACATCCCATAAACGAATGGTCTTATCAGAACTGCCAGATGCTAATATAGTTCCATCTGGAGAGAAGATTACTGAGTCGATAAAATTTTTATGACCATCCATTTTTGCCTGTTATTTTCCTGTCTTAACATCCCATACAAGAATAGACTGATCTTCACAACTAGATGCTAATTTAGTTCCATCATGAGAGAAGCATAATGAATTGGCTCCACTACAGAGACCATCTGATTAAACTATTTATAATCCCGTCATAACATCCCATAAACGAATGGTCTTATCAGAACTGCCAGATGCTAATATAGTTCCATCTGGAGAGAAGATTACTGAGTTGATAAAATTTTTATGACCATCCATTTTTGCTTGTTATTTTCCTGTCTTAACATCCCATACACGGAT